TTTTTTTTTTTTTTTAAGATTTTGTATTTATTTGAAAGAGAGGAGAGTGAGAGAGCAAGCATGAGGGTAAGGGTAGGGGCAGAGAGAGAGGGAGAGGCAGGCTCTCCACTGAGCAGGGAGCCCGATGCAGGGCTCGATCTCAGGACCCCGGGATCATGACCCAAGCCAAAGGCAGACGCCTAACTGACTGAGCCACCCAGGCGTCCCGAAAACACACTTTTAATAACCTCTTAGTACCTCAGTTCCAAGGTACAGAGGGCTCTGGATCTTTTATTCTTCTTTTAATTTTTTTAGGATTTATTTGAGAGAGAGAGAGAGAGAGGTGGGGGGAGAGGGGGTAAGGGAGAGAAAGAATCTCAAGCAGAATCTTTGCTGAATGTGGAACCTGATACGGGGCTCAATCTCACAACGCTGAGATCATGACCTGAGCTGAAACCAAGAGTCGGAGGCTTAACCAACTGAGCCACCCTTTTATTATTTCAGGATCTTTTGACTTCATAGCATACTCTCTATTTGCTTAATCTCTGGGTCCATGTTGAATTACTCCATGTCTGGACTAGTCCACTGTACAATGAGTGTCAAGCACCTAAACTACGTAATATGCATGCTTTTAAATGAGATAGTGTCTACAGACTGCTTTAAAAAAATTTTTTATTTGAGAGAGTGTGAGAGAGCGATCATGAGCAGGGGGGAGGGGTAGAGGGAGAAGCAGACTCCCCACTGAGCAGGGAGCCCGATGTGGGACACAATCCCAGGACCCTGGGATCATGACCTGAGCCAAAGGCAGACACTTAACCAACTAAGCTACCCAGGCACCCCTACAGACTGCCTTTAAAACTGTTTTATTACCCTCATAGTATGTAATAAACATCTTTCCATGAAAGGCAATAGCAAGCCCCCACACAGCCACAAACGACTACCAGACTCCAACTAGCTCAAGCACCTAATCTTTTTTTTTTTTTAAAGATTTTATTTATTGGACAGAGAGAGACACAGTGAGAGAGGG